GGGAGGGATGCCTCCGTGGAGGCCTTTCTAAGGGAAGCTGAGTCGTATACACGTTACGTATGGGGAAAACGACGAAAACACCCATGCAGCCAGCCCGTTCGCAGGATTCGAACCTCAGACCGAACTACCAGTGTTCAGCGACTTTTACCGCTCGACCGCTGGTGGGCACGAGTCTTATTTGGAACACTACGTTTTTAATTGCTCATATGGAGAGTGAAACTGCGCATACAAACCTCCCAATGCCAAAACAATCTGCTTTCCTGTGAAAATGGTTGTCAAAGAGTATATGACTAGAGGTGACGTTTAATATTAATGTTTATTTAAGTTCTTAGAAATACTGCCTACTTTTAGATGTGGTCACGATGAGAGGTTACATTGCACTTGTTATCGGACAAATTTTTTCAATAAGCTCACTTCTTTTATTAATGTTACAGATGTGATAATAACGCTATTGTTCTGCCTATTAACACTGAGTATCTAACATTGAATATATTGAGTAACTAACGACGATATTGAGTATCTACGTTTTGTTTTCAGAAATATTGCCTTTATTTAGAAGTAATCAAATTCATATGAATCATATTTATTAAATCTGCGTAATGTGGCACATTTTCCTGTACATATCATGATGTGGATCACTGCACTGAAATACACTTAAATGCCAGGACTCTTCCATATAGTGCGGGATGTCTGATCAGTAATATCTTCGGTCCACCAGCTGCCGAATGGTAAAGTCGCTGAACACTGGTAGTCTGACCTGTGTTCGATTCCAGGTAAATGGGCTCGCTGCATGGGCGTTTTTGTGATTTTCTACATGTATAATGTGGATACAAGCCAGTTTCTCTTACCATGTCATCCACAAAGACATCCCTTTCCTTAAGCAGAGAGCTCTAATGTGCCTTGCTATAATCAAATAAACCAAACCACTTTAGTTTTTCCTCTGTTGTAAATCTTCAGTAAAGCCCGAAAACCCTACAATGAGCACGTTTAATAATTGGCTGAATGAACACTTTTGACAGCATAAAAGACTGAATTATCTTAAGAAATTTATCAGTACTGTTTCCTTATTTATGTATTATGATGACGCTAGAAAACAAACTGACTGAAATGAAAAAAAAAAAAAAAATATTTACTAGAAATTTTAGCTGATTCCCATTCAAAATACGCCATTAAATCTTTAAAACAACACTCGGGATGGAACAAATTAATATTTCCAAAAGTATAGAAAATTGCCAGATTAAGCGGATTTTTGATGGCGTTGCTGACTTATATTTTTTATTGAAATCTAAATGCTAATAACTGCGGGCACAGCCAAAGAAAATTTAAATATTTTTTCATACGATAACTGCATTAAAAGCTCTAGATCTAAGCAATCTATGCAGAAATGAATCGAAAGTACGTATCCTGACAGACGTAAACCATGTCGCCTTTCTTGAAAATGTACAGAACAGCAATTTTTATTCTTTGTATGAAGCAATCGTGAAAAATTTTGGGTATCATATTTGAATGAAAATATGTATTTTGAGCGCTATCGAATCCATTTGAACGATGTTTTTGAGTGATATCTGTATGTACGGACATAATAAAGGACTCTTTCTCCCAAAATGGATTTCAGAAGAGATTTTTTTCGTGACTTCTGTACCTGCAGATTTACATAATGCAAATTTAACTGACAGTTACATCTTTATCCTCGCTGCGATGCTCAAAAAAGCCTTCTTTCGAAATAAATTCTTCTTTTATCATCTTTCTTTAGTCGCCGTTATTCTTACAGTCATAATTCTAAGTCAAATTTACCGTCATAGAAATATAACTCACGATCAACACTCATGCAACAGGAACACGCGATGTCTTTGTCATATTATTTCGCTATATTATTTAAAGTTTGTTTCGTAGCTATCATTCTTTTTACTACGCCTAACTGCATGTGAAATAAATTCCTATTTCTGTATCCCACTATCTAATATCATTAGATGTTATTTCGATGTCTACCTGAACTAATACAATTAATTAACACTTTCGTATAATAAATACACATTTAAACGAACACTTTGCACCTACGCAAAAACTCCAAACATTACTTACAGTTACATCTACATAATTTTCAACTTCCGTCGTTCCCGATTTTAGCTAAATTGATATTTCTTATCGGTAATGCAGTGATGTCCACTTTCAGTCGTGTAAGTTGAGTCGAAAAGGAAGATGGTGAAATTTGCAGCCGAAAATCTCTCCCCGCTCCCAACGTTAGGAACTTCAAGAACTCCCACTTAAGGTTCCACTTCCTTTCATTTTTGATTTCGACTTGTTGTGAAATTCGTTTTTTTCTTCCAGATGTAATCAGCTTACTCAACCGATGGATCAAGAAGATATCAAAATATCCAAAGCTTATTATACGAAACGAGGGTAGTTTGCATGTATGAACAATTCTATATGCGGCAAACAATTTAAAGACTTCTGTGAGTGACGCAATTCAGTGTTTCGTAGGAATCGTAGGAGAATCGTGGAGTGAAATTTCTCGAAAAACCTTGAATGGTATCTGGAAGAAAAAATGTCCTTTCCTTTCACAAAGCAAACCGAAAATAACACCTCAAACTGACCAAATCACTGATATAATAGAAGAAGTCGTCATCAGTCTGCGGGGCAAATAAAATTTGAAAGTTGATAAGGATCCCAGCGTGTTATTGGGCTCATACAGCAGAGAAATGACGATCGATGAGCTTATAGAGGTGCGTGAGAATATCGATACCTCAGATACAGACTCAGAATATGAGATTGATAAGACTGACAGAAGTTCTAGGATCAACTGAAAAAGGTTTTTAGATTTTTAAGAATGTAAATTAAAAAGAGAAATGGATTTTTGCATACTTGCTGTTCTGTGAAAAGGTACTGCTTTTCCACTGCTTGCTATTAAGTAGAAGGTAGTCTCCAAATGTTAATCATTTCTTTTAAAAGGTAAGGAAAAAATACAGAAAAATAACGGTTTATATCCTTATTCATGAACACAAAGGTGGCTTATCACAATTCAGTCGGGTTACATCAAATGAAAGCGCAAGTGTTATGAGGCGTACGGTTAGGATATAATTGGCTCTAAATCGAGCTTTTGGGGAAAAAAAGGATATTTATGGGAAAGGGGTCTTCATTAGTTCAACTTTTTCTCAAGTTACTGAAGTAATTGTGTCAAAAACTGGCATATTTTTGCCAGTTTTTGTTAGACTCCTTCATTTTAAAAACTACCCAAATTTGCATTTGGAAAAAGCATGTTTTATGTATTTAATTTTTTCTGTGTTGTATATATCTGTGCAACATTCTGGCAAACATCAAATTTTAAAATACTAGAAAGATGTACTCTTTAACGAATTTTTCGTCTTGTGGATTTTATTCAAATGGCAACAGATGCGTTGGGTCTTTAGCTGTCCTTGAAGCCTTCAACAATATATAATATATATATGAACAACAGCCTCTAATTAATTTCCAGACTGGTTACTTGTCTAAGGTTCGATCTTTTGTCAATATATCTTTGGAATCAAACAATTTTTAAGACATCTTTAACATGTAGATATATTGTATTTGCAAATGAAAATTTTTTTTCGTCTTTTAATTTTTTTGTATTCTCTAAAATTATATTTATGATACCGGAGTGTATATTTCTTAACTTTAATTTCTTTTACTCTTTATATCTACTTTTAGGGAAAGGGGTTTGATTTTTTTTATCAAAAGCTACGTTCTTTGGCTAAGTATTATGCAATAAACAATCTTTGTGAATTCATGAACTTTATGTGCAAATTAAGCTATGATATCATTTATACCTTGTTATTAATAATTTTATGTAGTTATTTTGTTCCTAAAATTACTATAAATTAATAGCTTATTAGTATACCATCTTGATTGTTATAAATTTCTAGGTTACTTTATTTAGTATCTTTTAAATTATTTTAGAAGATGGGCTAGGTTAGATGTTAGATTATTTGAATATGTGACACTTATGTATTACCTCACCGACCAGCCAAGTAGCATGATTTAGTGCCAATTATGGATGATCACGTCCTTTAGAATTCGACAGTAACGACTGGAAACCACTTCCGAAATTTCCGCCAACGGTCCACGGAATAATACGTAAGTAACAAATATGCAAACCACATGAGGACTTATCTGCCTAAGGGAAGGCATGCCTTTGTGGAACACTCCATAATGGAAACTGACTTGTATTTAAAAACTTTACACAAAGGGAAAACCAACCGTGCAGCTACACCATTAACTCGGTTTAAACATGGTGCGAGCTCCCAGTATTCAGCAATCTTTTAAGCAGTTATTAAATGTTTATGAGTATAAATGAATTAAAACTCAGACCTATCAAAACATGACCTTTTCACTTCAATGCATATAGTCTTAGTCTTCACCTTCTTTTCTCCCTAGTATCTAAATCCCAGCTGATATTTTAACAATTTCTTTAATGAAATTTTAAAAATTTTAGAAAGACAAGTTTCCTTTTCCCCCTCCTTTTAAGTATTTTGACATTAATTAATAATTTCTTATTACATGTTGTAACAGAATTTTTCATTTCTTTAATGCAAATTTGAGGAATACCTGTATTACAAAAAAGTTTAGCTTTTAGAAAATGCAGTGTTCTGCTATCAATGTAAATTCATTTACATCAAAAGGAATTTTTTAGGGGGGAAAGGCACTGTTTTATGACTGTAAATTATGCTTCTACAGTGAGGTTCAATGCTTAGATTTTTCATTCAGCATTCAAATGCAGATAAATTAAGTGTATACTACTGTGAAATATAAAAAATGAAAGATGCACAATGCCCACAAATATCACCTTATCCAGCCTTTAGTTTTGCAGCCGTTGATCATATATGTGAGGAAATAGAATGTTATTCACACAAAAACTAACTTTATGCATAATTAAAAAATGGTTCATTAAATAAAATCCGCTTTTAAAATTAGCATAGAAACATAAAACTTATTTTTTATGAAACAAAAAAGAGAGCGAGACAAAGAAAATTATACAACATTGTTTATTGACACATTACAAGCACAAACATTTTGTAACAAATGCTTAAATGGAAATTGTCAAAAATTAAGTTACATAAAAAAAAAATCATTTCCAATGTATGCTTTTTCAGACATAAAAACTGGCAATGAGGAAAAAAATTAAAACTGACAAAACAAATAAAAACAGGAATCAGTCTTATAGAATATTTTACACAGCCTTGTTAAATTAAATGTTTTGATCTAAAAGTTAGTTTTACAAACATCTTATGATCATTACACACTTTTCTAAAAGAAAACAAAACTTAACTAATGCAGACAGCTCAGTGAAATGGAATTCCTGTATCACATTTGGCACAAAGTCAAGAGTTCTAAAATGGAAGAACATGGCATTTCCACTTGGGGCTCATGCCAATCCAAATACTACACTGATGATGAAAATAGCTGCCTCATTAGACTGAGTGTAGCGCATGATTGCCAAGGCATCAGTTTCCTGAATTTAGTTTTACAAATATTTCTAATCTGAAGATATTATACAATTAAAACATTTAGAAGTTATACATAAATAATTTCACTATTTAATTAAATATATGCTCAGCACCAGGCTGCATTCAGTCTTTAAGACATGATTTATAAAACAAGTGAAAGAATATAAATTTTACAACTCCATACATTCTCATATTTGAAATTGAATTGTTAATACTTTCTATATAAAAATAAATACTGCTTTCCAAATATCTGGAAGACACACAGTTGACAGTTTGTTCAATATGTAACCAGCATATCAAAGACAACATTCTCAACATTTTTTCATTCAAGATGCACAAAAACTTGTTCATTTAATCAAAGAAATCTAAGCTTACAAACCAATATAAATTACATATTCTGCAAAAAGAAATCAGAGGGAAAATCTTAGCAAAACACGTTTTTTTCCTAATTAGCTAGATGTGAAATACATTAAGCAAATTTTTCTTTTGTTGAACACTGAGAAATTGCAAACTTACATGCAGCTTTATGATTCTGCCATGCAAATGAGTTAGAAAATTAAATGGCCAAATGATGAACATCTAAATGATTAAAACTTAGGAGGAATCGCCTTCCAGTTGAGCAAAATCTTGCAACACTGAAGCTGCATACTGGAGGCGAGAGCGAATGTTTGAGCTACATCCATGCTGGCAGAGAGCCGGCAAGGCGTAAGTCATGGAGTGTCGCTCTTCGTCAATATACATTACTGTTCCGTCTCCACCTATCACAATCTTCGTATGGTCCTTGAAGAAATTGATCTAAAAAAAAATAAATATATTTCAGTTAATATTCCTAAAGGAATTTAAAAATGAAAAAAATATATATATTTTAAATACGAGGGCAATCCAAAAAAAAGGTCTCCTATTTTTGGGGGACGTACAGAAAGTTTTAATATGGTTGTTGGCAACACTGTTGTGAGTGGTGCCTTCTCTGCTACCACAGAAGCACGCAGGCGCTTCGCTCGGATGCTCAGTCTTGGCTTGGCAGCCATTGGAAATGGAGCTCCCGATAAACGTTGCCGCCAAGTGTGAAAAACACGCAGTTATTCGATTTTTGAACGCAAAAGGTGTTAAACCGGTTGAAATTCACCGCTATTGATGAAAGTGTATGGACAGTCGTGCATGGATGTCAAAAACGCTCACAAGTGGTGTAGAGAGTTTACAGCAGGTCGTACTGAAATTCATGACAAAGAAAGGAGCGGGAGGCTGTCAATTGCCGACGAGACAATTGCGAAAGTTGAGGAACTCATGCGTAAAGATCGGAGGATCGCTCTGGATGCTCTCTGCATTTTGGTTCCTGAGGTTTCCAGAAGCACCATCCACAGGATTTTAACAAAAAAGTTGCAATATTGGAAGGTGTGTGCAAGATGGGTGCCGCATATGCTGACAGAAGACCACAAACAGCAACGGGTTGATTCATCCCGCGAATTTCTTCGCCGCTATGGAGACGAAAAGGACAACTTCTTGGACTCGATTGACGCTTCCTGAAGGGCATGGCAGCAAGCTGGTATGACATGGGCATTGTAAAACTGCCACAGCATCTACAAAAATGCATCGAGCGAAATGGTGATTATGTTGAAAAATAAAGCATTCTTCAATCTTTAAAGTGATGTAGCAATTATAGAAAATAAACGGTTCTTTGTATATCTAAAAATATAGGAGACCTTTTTTTTTTTTTTTTTTTGAATTGCCCTCGTACTTATTTTAATGCATAAAGAATTACTGCCTTGCGTGCAAGGAATAACAGCTATAAAACCTTGTATTCTGTTTTTAAGAAATTTGTCAGGAAGCAGTTGTTTGTTGATGAATCAGGTTCATTCTAAAGAAAGTGTGTTATCTATTGCATTAGAAAAGTCTGATACAACTATAGCACAATCAATATACAAATATCGATTCCAACTGGAACGTTGAACGATTCCAAATAGAATCGATATATTTTTACAAACTATAAAAACTGAAGATAAAATAGTTTTATGTCTGCATTTCAAGATCAGGATCTCTCATCTAAGACTGTTCAGGACAAGCCATTCTCACAAATGAAAACATTTTACACCATATCACAACCTAAACACTAAAACCAGATAAATGTTTCAAGTAGCAGTGTTTAATTGTAGACTAAATGTAAAAACAAACTATGAGAAACTGAGGCACATGAATTATAATTAACTGAAGAGGATTCAAATTTATAGTGTTTAAAAAACAGCAATAAGCATCAAATTTCAGAATAATGTTTAATGTCTTAATGCAAAGCGATGCATGCTGTCATGTTGAAATATGTTAGGATACATAGCACCATTAACTATAAAATTTCTATTTTCAATGTTGATGTCCATAAAGAAAAAACATTTTTTTTTTCCTGTTTGTACTTAAAATTATAACCAAGATGACAGAAAATTTGGTCATGAAGGTGTTATAAAGCATAAAGAATATTTGATACTTTTCCATTTCACTGGTGCAAATCTCGCCAGGCAGACTTTATTGGTGACTACACATTGTATACAGATAAGACCAGTGGCGGATTCGCCAAAGAAATCGTCGCTGGCAGAAAAAAATATGTCAACCCTAAGACCCCATATGATACGGCATATATATAAATTATCATTGTCATCACATCATCATAAAAAATAATGTTATAAAATAAAAATATACCTTTGCAGAAAAGTAACACTTTATACACATATATAACAATAAATAATTATATAAACAAAACAGTGATTGATTCATAAGTAGCCATTTAAATATTTTTTAATTCCAAGTTCCTGGGCAAATATTTCCTTCATTATATCTTCAGTTTTTGCTTTAGCCAAATTATCCTTCTCTATGTTCATCAATAGCGGTGACTCCAAATTAGCTTGCTTCATAGTACTTCTTAATTTACTTTTTACAATTTTTAATTTTGAAAAAGCTCTTTCGCATTCAACTTGGGTTATAGATAGGGTGAGTACAAACTTATAAGCAAAAAAGACATTGGTGTACGCATTACTATATAACAGGGGTGGCCAAAGTGCGGCTCGCGAGCCTGATATGGCTCTCGCAGGCAATTTGTGTGGCTCGTGCATATAAAATATATGTATGAAATATGGTAAACTAAAACTATTCAATGTCCAAAAAAAGTAATTAATTAGTTTAGACTCTTTTTACAAAGTTATTAGGGATTTCCTTCTATTTAAAACCTCCTCCATTACTTCTATAATGATGTAAATATAGAATGAACTTGTAACTTTTAGAAAATCTAGATGCGGCTCTTGAACATTCCTGAATTTAAACGTGCGGCTCTTACTGACATGAACTTTGGCCAACCCTGCTGTATAAATTATATTTCACGGGTAATTTATACATAGACAAGATGCAAGTTTTTCAAAAATTGCATATAGCTTTGGATAAATGCTCATTAATAGATAGAGCATTCTTTTCTTCTGGCTGAGTATCAGATTCAAAATAATGATTTTCAATTGAATTTTTTAGTATTTCCCATTTAATTACTAGGTCCTGATATTCAGCCTTAGATCATCCATTGTTACACCTGCATAGTGCCCTAATAATATAGATGAATAGTCAAAAGAGTTTGGAGACAGTAACTTCAAAACGTTCTTGGGATCGAGAAGTGATATCTTCATACGCTTCCTATGCCCTTTAAACTTACTTTCCATCAATGAAATGGTGTTATCTGATATAAAATTAAAAGCAGTAACTTCGTTTGATAGGGCAATTGAAATTACAGTCGGACGATTCTTCTACGTTAATTTGTTTCACTTTTCGGCATCTTCTAGCAAGTAGTTCTTCTTTTATAATTATATCACAACCCAGCATTTCTAGATTATTATTGCAATTTGTTGCGAATGATTTTGATGTGTTAAATATTAAATTGAAGTTTCTAGAAATGGCTTTTAAAGAGCTCGTAGCCTCCCTAACCATATTATTACAAATTTGGTATTTAAAAAGCTAATGTTAGTTCAATTATAAATTAAATGGTTTTATTTCTCGTGCAGTACAGCGCGTGACAAATATTAAAAGAAAGCTAAGCCGGAAAATTGAAAATACAAGAGCGCATGCATTAAACATTTAATAAATATCTCTCTTTGATTTCGAGAAAGTACTAGAAAATTCTCGCGCGTGATTTTAAAATCTTATAAAAGGAGGAAGACCTCTCAGTTTGTTGTTGTTTAGAAAACTGCTCTTGTTGGCTCTAGCGAATTCATGGATTAGCTTTCTTTAGCTGTTTTGAATTAAGTTCTTTTGAACGTTTGAGTAATTATTGTGAATATATAACTATTGTGAGATATTGTAAAACTAAAAGAATATCTGAGGGAATTTAAGCATTTTGTGATAATAATAAATTTTTTTGTTCATTTTTCATCGGACTTGTGCATTCATTTCGTAATGAACTCGTACGCACGCAATAATATTCTACGCTAGCATGTAATTTAATCCTTTAGTCTGCCAATATTTCATCACTGGCTCAGTATATTGAAATATTTTCGAATATACATGAGCAGGCAAAATTATTCTAAAAGTTGGTATTTTATCCAGAATAGATTTTGCCATTTGTTGTATCTGTGCATTTTGTATATTATTGGAAGACATACTTTTGAGTGAAAATATTAATTTTACGTTCCCTCACGTGCAGTCATCTGTGTCGATTCGATCGTTTGAGTTTTTTGATTGGCCCGAAGTCCCTCCAGCCCACCAGGCATCTACCCAGTTGCCCGCTGGCCCTATCAGCCACTGTATAAGACATGTTAATAATGTTGCAAATCTCGCCAAGCACACTTAATTGACAGCAACACACAGTATACACATAAAAAATGTTAACAAATATAAGTTCTAAGAATTTTTTACTTTGGAGGCTAAAACATTTTAATACCGCTTAAAATTTTTTCAAAGGGTCTTTTGTTTCCGTCATCCACATAAATTCTGTGAGATGCCTTTCCAGATGATGATGTGCAGTTCCTCTGTGTTTCATATTTCACCATTTGACACTAGCCCACAATCTTTCTACTTTGTGTGTGTGTGTGTTTCACTTTCTAGATTGATAAAATTATATTTATGGTTCACTTTGAAATGTTCGAAACTTTCCTTTTCCAGTTTTTCAGTGCAGTATGATTTCCACAAATGGAAATATATTATAATACCTTTATCGATATTCTCCTTAATTGCTTTTAATATAATGTTATGGATCAGTTTGTCACCTTCACAAACAAACATTTATTTGTTTCACGGCAAATTACAACAAAGATCCACTGTTGTGGTAGAATCCATTCTGCATTGTTTTTGCACTTCATGAATCTACTTTTATCCACTTCAACGATCATATCAGGTTCTCCAATTTTATGTTGTTGATGTTGAAGCAAAGATTCCACATAGATCTTGCACATGCAGTAATTCAGTCCACAACTGTTCCGTGACTGAGTTTCAACTGCTTTTCACACTATTTAACTGAATTTAATTCTTTGCTCTAACCATAAATAAACTTCACGCACGACAAGAAACTCAAACTTCGATGACTCAAACCATGTGCCTTTCTAGCTACTTCTTTTACTGTGACAAGTTGAAGGTATGCAGCGCCATTGAATTTCATCTCTGAAATACAATTTTATTTCATTATTATTATCACAAGTAGCAATTTTAAGATTCTTCAATTCTCCCTCTGTTCTGGGCAAAGTTTTGTGGTTTGGAAGTACATGCCACAGACACTTTTTCTAAACCCTTTTTTTCATTTGTGCCATGTAATATAAATAAATAAAACATCAGAAATTATTTACCTGCAGAGTTCCAGAACTGAGCTGCATAATTATGGCATTTGGAGATCGCAACCATCTCTTCATTTGGGGAATCTTTTTCCTGACTAGTTCTGTAGACTGAAGCTCTCCACCCTTTGAAATAAAAGTACAAATATACATAATTATTCAAATAAAAATGCATATGTGCAGATATATTTGATGGATAAAACTAAGTCATAGCTTTGCTTTATTTCTAGTCACGGCTTTACTTTTATTTATTTTATAATATACATTTTCTTTCCAAATTTATGTATATGGGTTTGTAAAAAATATCCAATAAAGAAGAAATAAATTCTAATTTTAGGTAATTTAATTTTTTTTTTTAATTTTGAAATTTATAAATTCTATATACAGTCTGCAGTAAAATGAATTTTAAATCTTTATACTATGGAAATAAAGTTATGAGTTAAAATTATGAAATTAATCCTCAAAGAATTGAATTCAGTTAATTGATATGAATTTAAACGCTATTCTGATCTCTTGAAGTACTGCTACTTTTTTTAATTTCATTGATGTTAATTGATATATTTTTACATCAAGTATCAGCTACATATCAGTTACTTTTTTCAGGGTTTGAAAGTCACTAAAATGATTCCAAGAGCATGATGTTGAGTCATACATCCATAAATTTAAAATCTTGTGTCCAGATAAAAAATAGCTAGCTATGAGCAGTCTAGTGTCATATTATATATTACTTAGCGAGTTATATTCTACATTACTTGGAAGGAAAAAGACTAAAAACTGTCCAGAGAAAATTATTAATGCATAATTAAAACCTGTACAGTCAAAAGTTGTTAATCCGGACTCGTCGGGACTTCAGCGATTCCGGATTATAGATGATCAGTTTAAATCTGGTAAGATGGCATGCAGAAATTACAAAATTAAAAATATGAAATAAAGAACAATTATGATCTAAAGGGTATCAAAATTTACAAAAAGAAAAAGCTTAATATTTATTTGTTTACTTTATTAAACATTTCTTTCAATGTTGTTTAAGTTGCTTCGTTTCATGTGATAATACTTTCTCTTTAATTCTATTAAACAGACATAATTTCTTGTTTAGTTACAAAGTTCCGCTGTTCAAGTCCTATAATTGCTGTGTTGAGAATACCGACTAATTTGTCAATCGAAATTTTTTCGTTTTCAATAACCTCTGGTCACTTTCTTCACTATCGGAAGCGAATTATAATGACGAGGAACTTGATTTAAATCATATCAAAGTACATCGAGATGAAATACTACATTTAGTATGGAATTATAAACCAAATAAAATAAAAACATCTGCCCTGAAGATAAGGATAGTGCTGACAGATCAACTTCCAATCCGCCGCGTGAAATTGATAAACAGATTTCGGATCTCAAAACATACTTTCGCTTTGTAGATACGGGTTTTCATCCGCAGAGAACCCGTTGGCGCCGTTGCATTTTTACTCGCCAAGCTCGCGGTTCAGCGGCGATGAGCCGAGCCACAAACGTGATATTTTGTAAACGTGATTTTTAGTGCATGTAAATTCAAGTTAGCAGACAAAAACAATATATTAAGCATATGGTAGTAAAAATTCACAGATAATAAGCATGTAGATGTAAAACTAACTTGTTAAACGTGATATACGAAAATTATATTAATTCAAGTTAGCACAGAAAAGAGTATATTAAGTATAAGACAATATATAAGCATTTATAACGGAAATAAAAATTCATTTGAAAAATATAAATTAGTATTAATGTACTGAAATTAACCTGTTAAACATGATAAACAAAAAAAAAAAAAAATTTGTCTTAAATTCCAGTTAACACAGAAAACAATATATTCCTTACACCAGCAGTGGTTTGCTAATTTTGATGACCATGGTGATGCATCAAACTATTCTGTCATGTTAGATAATCAATAATCTTTTTTATTTCAACTTAATCATCTATTTATGTCACACCTGCCATCCTTTGAAAGGTTATTGTTAGAAAAGCATTAACAATATATTATCTTGTTAAAATTTTACGCCAGAAAATTGATTTATTCTCATAATTTTAGATGACAATAACCAATAATAAAAATAAAAGCATTACTTAGTTATTTAAATTGCTGGTTCATAGAGCTGTTAATAATTAAGAACACAACGTGAACAGCCATGTTACAAATTAGCATTCACCCTTCTCGCCGTATTTTCTTCCTTTCATCCCGAACCGAGAACCGGCATCTATCTACGAAAATATTTCTATCTATTCGTTGTTCAAAAATTCAGAAAAAATAATAATAAATAAGAGAAGAATAATATAAATCTGCAAATGCGAACAACGACAGTGATAATTTAACAAAATGAACGCAAGAGGAATGGTTGCAAACTTCGAACAAGCGAATAGGAAAAATCCGCTGGGTTACCAGGTTTGAACTATTATCACCAAAGTTGGCGATGTTTACATTTACCGGGTTCTCTGCGGAAGTGCTTCCGTAGATACAAATTACATATTAGTAAATATATATCGGAAATTCTATTTGACATAATCTTTCTAATCCATCATAATCTAATAATGACGTTTCTGCCCCCCTCTGCCGCAGAGCAGCGTGAAATTGATAAACAGATTTCGGATTTCAAAACATACTTTCGCTTTGTAGTAAATATATATCGGAAATTGTATTTGACATAATCGAAAGTTCAAGCTTACTTTTATAAAAGTGCTCTAACAGTCTGCAAAAAATAATAAGCCGGATCCAATTCGAAGATTAAGGAACAACGCAATCGGCAACATTAACTGAATTAGATAACTTTAGCTTAGCGTATGACTCCGTTACAATTTAAACGCGCATGCGCACAAACATATTCGCAGCCGTAAGGGTCTTACGCGCTCTCGTAAACGCCTGTGCGCATGCGTGAACGCGACGCATGCGCAGAAAGTTTGTAGCTTTGAGGTCCGGATTATAGATCATTCCGGATTATGGGTGTCCGAATTAACGACTTTTGACTGTATATCCTTTTTAGATGGCTGAAAACTGTTTAGAGTTTGTAATATTACAAGTTAAACAATGATAAAAAGCAAAAACATAAGTTGGTAATATCATTATAATATGTCTTAAATTTTTAAAAAAAAATCTGGTACTGTATTACATACCCTAAATATATGTCCCTGATATAAAAGTAATAAAACTTATTTTAAAAAGTTCAAATTAAAATGTTATTTTTTCTAAATAAACTTTCAGTCGGATAGCAAACATAAAAATTCAGTTATATGAAATAAAAACTTACTTCTGTAAGATTTTCATCCATATATTGGGCAAAATATTTCAGTAATGTGAATCTTTCTTGGAGATGACTGGGAATATTGGAATGACTGTACGTGCTAGTTTTTCCATTGGTGTCATGAAATTCTATTCTCCTGTAAATTAAAAAAATTCTTAAAATGTGTTAACATAATTGCTAATGTTTGATGAATAATTTTATAAAATACTAAATTAATTTAGCATTTAGTAAAAACACAAGGAGAATTTATGGGTATAATGATTTATTAATCCTAAATATTATTTTAATGGAAGGTAAACAATGATATGAAAGTTTCGACTATGATGTGCTTAAATTTATATAAGGGCTTTTTATGATGATAAGCTTTAAATTCATATACCTACGAGGGCTATCCAGAAAGTAGATTACGTTTTGGAATAAAAAAATAAACAAAGTATAGGAAACAAATTTTATTATATACAGATGAAAGCCACACTCAAATACTACTTTTCTACATAGTCACCATACAAATTAAGGCATTTATCGTAGCGATGTACGAGCTTGGAAATTCCTTCATCGAAAAATTCGGCCGCCTGCGCCTTCAACCACTTCGTTACCTCTTCTTGCCTTCCATCTTGCACAAAACTTGTGGTAACCAAGCTTTTCGCTGATGATTTCGTGCAACAAACTTCGCGAAATTTGTGGAAAACTCAAAGAAAGTTCCGTTATTGTGAAATTTCGATTTTCACGGACTTTAGCATCAACTTTTTCGAGAAGTTCGGCGGTCACTATGCTGGGTCTCCCACTTCGATCTTCGTCGTGAACATTGGTTCGGCCATTTTGAAATCTTATGACCCACTGACGCACTCCACCTTCAGTGATAATGTTGTCCCCATACACTTCACGAAGCTGCCGATAGATTTCTATCGGTTTACAGTTTTTTGCAGTCAGAAACCTTATTACTGAGCGCACCTCGCAGCTCGCGGGATTTTCAATTAACGCAGACATTTCAAACCGTCACAGTATCTGAACAGAGCACAGCACGAACCTCTCACTAGCACGGCTAGATGCAGACTGAGCTGCGCAACGCTCTGACCCCAAGATGGCCGCGCTAGCCCCGCCCCTAGCGGACACAGACGGAAACGTAATCTACTTCCTGGATGGCCCTCGTATTTTACACAGTCCTAATATATCTGATAACTATATGCAGTTTTTATTTTAAACATAATAATTTGGTATAAGTTTAAAAATCATTGACATGAGTGAAATATTTAAGATGTGTTTTCTAAAATCAATTAAAAACAAATACTGAATAATGTTGCCAAAATATTACTTCTTATAATTTTAATGATTAATCTATTTGATAAGCAAAATTGGACTCCTAATTATTTTCATTTTACTTTATGAAAATGCTAAAAATTAGTATGAAGTAAAAGAATATATATTTACTATAAGTTGATTTTTCCCCTTATTTCACAGGTTTTAAATATACTCACCCTCGATTGGCAGAAAGACTCATTCTTGTGGAATCATTAAACAGAACTCCTATGCTGTGATCAGACAGTTGGAATCCAAAGCCATACTTGTTGGAATAATCAATCCATTTAGTTATGAAAGGACTTAGGTTGTAATTTAGAGGTGGTGGATTACTATCACAGTCTATAAAAGGAATATTTTATGAAGATGAAAATAAAGATCACATATGTAAATTTTTAAATTTCAAAATAATAATAACAGAACAAAATGAAAAAAACTCAGATTGTCATGAAAACAAATAGCATTACAATAAAAAAGATATTCCATGTACATCAGACACTTTATTTATTTATTTTGGTCTCAATTGTGATTTGGAAGATGAAGCTACAAAATAATAAGTCTAGTGCAACAACTATGTGTGATTTCATATATCTGGTGCTAAGAAATGGTAGTTGAAAATTTGTATGTGATCAAGTATGTAATTATAACATTATAAATGCTTTAAAAAGAATATTTAAAATAATTATTATTATTTAATGAAAAGTGACTCATGCTCCTCATGGGAAAAGCTTAGGAAATACTATTCAGGTAGGTTCTAGGAATCAAACTTGTGAAGAGCTACTCAGATATTGAAAGGCCTGCTTTTACGCACTTAAATCCTTAAAGAATAATTTTGCCAACAAAATTTTGAAAATTTATCTATAAATTAATTTAACTCCTCTTTTGATAAATAAGAATTTTTACTGTTACTCTAGCATAACAATATAGTGATAATGATAATTTGTTTGTCTTTCAACAAACTATATTTCAAGAAGAAATTCATTATCCTTCTGTACCAAAATTCAATTACATGAAGTAATTTTAAAACGATTGCTCATACTTTTTTGTTAAAAACTCATATAATATTCTCTATATAATGTTGAAACTTTCAGTACAATATTGAAAATCTTACTTGTTCAGATTTATAAGTAAACAAGATCTGGCAATGTTCCATTCATAACACTGACAATACTTTCAAATTAATGCTATCAGAATCTGATTCATAATATTTTAATAATTTACTTCAAAATAAAATTTTATATTTTTAAATATCTTCTTTCATAACATGTAATAATAGAGAAAAGTACATTTTCAATCATTAGTTTTAATGACATTTTTGTATATGTTGAGACTGATTTTAGTTCGCTTATTTAAATATAATTACAGCATCAATTATTTACTACAACAAATTCTTTATACCAGTTCTGATATTATTCTTATAAAGTTAAAAAAATCCTATGATATTTGCATGTTAAATAATTAGCTGAATCACAGCAAGATCTGATTCTATCAGTATATACAGTACAAAGTCTTTAATTCGGAATGATCTATAATACAGACCTCAAAGCTACAAACTTTCTGCGTATCCGCAAATGCATGATACGTTTACGTGTGTGCATGTGCGCTTACGCATGCACGTTTAATGTATAATGGATGGTATGAGCTAGGCTAAAATTATCTAACTATCTATTTCAGTTAATGTTGTAGATTGTGCTGTTCCTTAATCTTTTAATTGGATCCGGCTTATTAATTTTTGCAGACTGTTAGACCAATTTTATAAAAATTAAGCTTGAACTTTTGATTCTGTCAAAAAGAGTTTCCAATTCTGGAGTTGCCAAAGGATCTACAAAGCGAAAGCATGTTTCGATGTCAATCAAACAAAAAGTGGAATTGCAAATTTCGATTGACAAGTTAGTCGGTATTCTCGGCACAGCAATTACAGGACTTGAACAGTGGAACTTTGTAACTGAACACATACAAAAATTGAAAGAAATGTTTAATAAAGTAAACGAATAAATATTAAGCCTTTTTTTGTAAATTTTGATACCCTTTAGATCATAATTGCTCTTTATTTCATAAATTATGGTTTCATATTTTTAATTTTATAATTTCTGCATGCCATCTTACCAGATTTAAATTGATGATCTATAATACGGAAAAATCCCTAATACGGAATCGCCGAAGTCCCAACGAGTCTGGATTAAAGACTTTGTACTGTACAGTCAAATACCAAAAATCCACCAACTCGTAAAACCCGCGCTGCCTCTCAAAATATAAACATTCAGTTTATATTTTGAGAAGGAAACCACAACATTGAGTACAAAATATCGAAGAAAAAATATTTACCGAATAATGACGTCATAATTACCGAATAATAATGAGTCATAATGGAAATACCAAATTATTTACATCATGATAAAAGTTTTTTCCCCCTCTAATCTGCATAGAGGTAAGAAATTAATCTGCATCGAGGTAAGACGATTCACTCAACTCTTCGGGTAAAGTGCAGAATCGCCCACTTATTTGTTGGCGCCACAATTTCTTTGAATTTTTAAGTGAAAATAGGTCGATGTGTACATGGATACAGTCAAGGGAGTGCGCAATGCCCTTTTTGTGCAATTCTGGAATGTTTTTTTAAGTGAAAATAGATCGATGTGCAGATGGATACAGAGTATGTGCAATTCTTGCACCAAGCAGTGGGCAATTCTGTACTTTTCCCCAACTCTTCTTCCAAATTCATGATTCATGTTGTATTTTCTGAGCTTTGTTATTTCACGAGATTATTCAGTGCTGCTTTTTTTTAGTACGGATATTTTGTGGATAAATTAATAATATTTTTAATTTCAGCCCTTTTTAATACAATTACAAGCTCTAGGTAGAATTGGGTGCCCCTTCGATTAGCGATACATTTTTTAAAATTTTGATGATGAAACCTCATTGTTAGATATTAATTACTTTGCTTGCCCGCGATTACCTTCGATAGCGATACATTTTTTAAAATTTTGATGATGAAACCTCATTGTTAGATATTAATTACTTTGCTTGCCGATAGATGGCAGTGCCTCTAACCTGACTAGCTAGGCAAGTGCACAGTATTTGTGCTGTGTCACATTCTCGTCACTTGCCGCCAACTATGTAGCATCAATGTCTCTCTTATGTATAAAGTAATCTTATTTAATCTTATAAATAAACAGTAATTTATCTATGTTTGATGAGTCAACATATATAACATGGTGTCAGAGTAAACCACGCTCACGAATTTAATGCATAAATTGATATTTTAAGGATAATGTGCATTTGAAAAACTTGGAATCAAAAATGGCACATAACCTGCCCCCGTTGTCACCGTTTGACGCTGGATCGAACCCTTCTGAAGCTTGGAGACACTGGAAGGAAAACTTCGAGGACTATATCGAGGCATTAAGATATAGCCAAGAGTCGGAAAGCACAAAAACTGCGCTTCTTCGACATATTTGTGGTGACGAATTTAAAAAAAAAAAAAAAAAGCAAAGTATCGATCGTTTGATTTGAAGCCAGAAGCGGGCAGTAGTGAAGTGTCCTTAAAACAAAGTGCTACAAGAATTCGCCAAATATTTTGCAGATTATTCAGAATGAGATTTATGCATCATTCAAGTTTCTCAAAATAAAGCAAGAGAAAGGAGAGAAATGCACGGACTTTTACTCAAGGCTATGATGTGCAATAGTAGATCGCAACTATGGGCAAGCGCAAGATAGAATGCTCCGTGATAAAATAGTGCAAGGCATCTCAGATAAAGCATTACAAGAACGGCTAATACGAGAGACAAATAGAGCAAAAAAGACACTGCAGAATATCTTCAGTGAATGCAAGGCAGCGGAACATATCAAAGCACAAGCCACTGAAATGAACGAGAACAAAATCTTCGTAGACGCTCTCAGAAAGAACAAACATCAATCAAATCCCGCGCAGATAACGCAAGTAAAAGAGTGCAAGTGATGTGGAAGAAAACATGAGCCAAAGAAGTGCGCTGCATTTGGAATGGTCTGCTGAAAGTGCAGTGGGAAAAATCACTGGGCGAAAATGTGTCGCACCAAACCAAAACAGAGAGTGCACGCAGTTGGATGTATGGAAGATAGCGACTCTGGTTTATTTACCTAGGGGAAGTAAAAACTGTTGACGCGGTGGATTCAAATAAAGCATCAGTCTGGTACCAAAAGATCACCGTAAATAAGAATGAAGTGAATTTCAAATTAGATACTGGAGCTCAAATTAACATTATGCCCAAGAGTGAATTGTTAAAGTGGAGTGAGAAACCGATAATTAAAAAAAAATAAACAACCAGTACTGGATTATAGTGACAATACTAGGTGAGTGCTACCTTACATGTAAAACTAAAAAATTGACAAAAACTCTCAAATTTCTGGTAACCACTCTGGAATCATCTCCTATTTTGGGTCTTCAGGCTTGCCAAGGCTTGGGTCTGATTGAAAGAGTGTATCAAGTCAAGCAGGAAAAGAAACAAAATGAAGAGACACTAGAGCAAGTGATACAGGAATTTGCAGATGTGTTTACTGGTGTGGGAAAACTAAATCGCACAGTAAAGATAAAAATAAAAGAAAATGTCGCACCTCATGTTGCAGCACCACGTAAAGTGCCACTTGCTTTGCATGAAAAAGTAAAGCAGGAGCTAAACAGAATGGTTGAAACTGGCATCATAGCAAAAGTTGATGAGCCTACAGAATGGGTGAGCAACATGGTTGTGATAAATACGCCAAAGAAATTGAGAATTTGTTTAGATCCAAGGCAGCTTAATGAGGCTATTCAAAGACCTCATTATCCAATCCCTACAGCAGAAGCCCTTATGACAAAACTCCAAGGATGTAAAATATTTACCATTTTGGATGCCAAGAATGGATTTTGGCAACTACCGCTTGATGAGGAGTCATCATACTTGACAACATTTACAACGCCCTGGGGAAGATTCAGATTTTTGGTTCTTCCTTTTGGTCTGAACAATGCACCTGAGGAATTTCAACGGGCCATGGAGGAGATTTTTAGCAATGAGAACGAGATAAATCCATATTTTGATGATTTAGCCCTAGGATCGTCGTCTGTCGAAGAACATTGCAAGTTGTTGAGGAAGACACTTACGATAGCAGAAGTGATAATCTAAAATTTAACATCGAGAAGACACAGCTATCTCAGACCTCTGTGACTTATTTAGGACCATGTACTGTCTGATAAAGGCATTGCACCTGATCCAAAGAATGTCCAAGCGATTGAAAAGTTTGCAGAACCAAAAGGTCGGGAAGACTTGCAGCGATTTTTAGGATTGGTGACATACTTAGTAAAATTCACACCTCAGTTGTCAAGTCTAACTCATGCGTTAAGGCAACGTTTGAGAAAAGATAGCAAATGGTTATGGGATGAAAACATCCAAAGAGACTATGAGCAATAAATAGTAATTTATCTATGTTTGATGAGTCAACATATATAACACTCATTTCTGGTTACCATGATAGTTTTAACTTTGTTTTAGCTTCCTGATTTTTTTTTAATGAAACTAGATTGATGTGTGCATGGACAAATTTAAGGCAGTGTGCAATGTCTAGTTTGTGCAATTCTGGGATGTTTTTTTAAGTGAAAACAGATTGATGTGTACATGGACACAGAGTTTGTGCAATTATTTGACTTTTTATTTTGGTTTTGTGTGGTGGCCATCTTGAAATTGCGCCTTCCTGGCGTCGATCTTGGCGTCAAAAAAGAATTGCCAAAAACAATGGGCACCCAATTGTAAACTTTTACCCAATTACAAATTAGAAACGCACTCATGATTTTACTGCTTGCAATGCTGGAAAATGTAAACACGTTGCATTGACAGTAATGCAAAAAATGCAAATTCTGCAAAAGATGGAGACAGGTGCTATTCCTCAGTTTATAGCAGAATCATATGGAATTGCAATACGATTGTGTATGATATATGGAAAAATAAAGAAAAGCTGTTGAAATTTTACAGCAACAATGACTCTAACACCGGAATCCGAAACTGAAAATCTTTGCATGAGGTGAAATCGGCAAACCTTCGATGCTGTGTATATATAATACAAAGAATAATATAATCAATTTATATATGTAATAATAATTTAATGCATATAGTAAGTTATTGCAATAATGTATATCATAATTTAATTAAATGTATCTAATACACCTTATTTATTTTACACTTTTAGTCTGAAAATTATGATTTATCTTTTCTGTCTTGAAATCCGCAAAATCCTAAGATCCACACAACCTCTGGTCCCAAGCTTTGCAGATTTCTGGAATTCTACTGGATAAATATAACTCATTTAACTTACATTTGAAGGAAGATAATATGGTTTAACCTATTATGATTTCTAAACTATGAGTTCTGATATAAAAAGCCCCACCAACCAATGGTTAAGAGTAACGAATAGTAGGAGTTTGATTCCAGGCAAATAAGCTCGCCTGCATGACTGTTTTCTCCATGTGTAACATGAATATGAGCTGATTTCCCTCAGGAAGACCTCCATGAAAGCATTCCCTTCCCTCAAAGTTAATAGCCCTTATGTGATTCAAAACAGCCTAACCATCTTCCTAAAAATGGGAATACTCTCATAATTTACCACCTAATCATTTATTCAACTAAACATTGCAGTAAATAATACCCTTCTATTTTATTGATAAAAACGTCAGAGAACTCAAGGGTCTAAGAATTAAATTCAGTGGGAATGGGTAGCTAATGATTTAATGTTTTTATCAAGTATTGTAGAGTAAATGGTCAAATATGGCTGTTACTTGATCCATAAAGTAATGTTAGTAGCTGCATCACATAATAATCTTGCGAGTACACTTTCTGGAGGTAATTTAAGGGCAGAAGAAAAGAGGAAGGCCTCGTCTCATGGAATTGAAGTCTCCTCTCACCCCCCAAAAAATTATATTTCCAGGGTGACCAGTAAATAATTCAGAATCATTGGGTGGTCAGGAGAATGTGATCATAGTATGTGACACACATAATTACTCATCTGCCGTAGAATGGGTTTTCATAAAGAAGCAAAAGTTGACCTTATACTGTAGGATCAATTTCTGGAATTTGTAATGTTTAGCATCCACGTTACCTACATTCCAGACAATTAATGTAAGTGGAGAGTTATAGTTATCCAACTTATCCGTATCAAGCCTGGAAAGTTGTGAGTATATTCCTCAATAAAGGATCCCTATTGTTTGAGGCTTCTATATAGGTCCTGAATGCCTAACTTCCCATGAAGCTAATTAATGTGAGGAAATTTTAAAGATCTGTTCAGCATTCTGCACAGTATTGTAGCCAGGGAGTACATCTGTTCCCAGGTGCAACATCCAGAAGAGTGCCAAATTGATGTCACGAAATCTTAGAATTGAAATGTTTTCGATTCTTGGCATTTAGAGACATTAGGCATTTTTTTGGAAGCAGGCAAGATGAAAAATATGCAGCGCCTTCACTGGGAATTGAACCACAGACCTCTCAATTACGTGCTGAGCATGCAGACCACCACAACATGAAGGCATGCCAAGAAGATGGGAGAAATACCTTATATACTCCCTCTTTTAAAGGGCGACTGGGATTTTTAGGGGACTCAATTGTCAAATCCTGTGTGAGGAGACTCATTATCCAACACCCTTTTAGTTCGGGCACCACTGTACAGACATTAGGTTATTTCGAGGCCAGAAAGATGAAAAATTAGCAATGCTTTTGCCAGGAATTGAACCATGGACTTCTCAATTACACGCTGATCACTAAACCATGAAGGCTTGTTAAGAAGGTGGAAGAAATACCTTATAGGCAAACAAGCAGGGGCACAAAATCATCAGATGCCCCCGGGTGCTGAAAATCCTAGCTATGGCTTTGGTTCTATAGGACCCTAGCAAAGAACTTTCAGCATTCTGAATGACAGCAACAATATAAGATTTGTTTATCCCAATCCTATTCTGACAGGTATTTGGCCTGTTCATGCTCACTGATTTGGAAAATTTTACTCATTTATTTCCCAAGTGGCCTACAACACAATTGACACTTTGTGAATCACAGTTCAATGAAAACAATCTCCTCTGACACACAATGGATCATGTGTAAACATTGCCTAAGTGTGATAGAATCCTTAGCAGCTGTAGCACTATACTCCACAAGCTCTGCCACATTAAATTTCCTCCTTGATCAGATTCTCACAGTAAGTTAGATTAAAAATGTTACATGACTGGCTGATTTTTGGTGGGGAATAACATCAGCTACACAATAATGTATAGCCAATTTCTTTCTCTAGTAACTTTTGCAAATGTATTAAAATTAATAAATTTTGATATTTTTACAGAACACTCTATAAAAATTACTTCTTGCAATATTGCCAAAATTATTAAAATCAATAGTTTTGAAAATTTTGATATTTAATAAAACTATCTTGATAATTTCTAAAATTATGCTATCAAAAAATACCTACCTCCCACTAATGGATTTAAGAAAATACAAAATAAAACCTAATTTACCTTCTGGCATTGATTCAAGAGCATTCATCACCATGCTGTACATGCTACTGGAAGTGCAGGCTTCCTTTAGTTTTTTGGATACTAAAAGAGAACACACAAATTGATTCAATTAATTTTCAATTAAAATAATTAATAATAAAATGACTCATTAAATGCACCATTCAGCAATTTTTAACATCTGCATGGGATGAAGATCCAACATCAACTCAGTGCATCAAAGAAAAAGATCGACAGTACACTCTCTCTTTTAGTTTAAAGAGTGACTGGTGTTTAATCCGGTGTGAGGATGTTGTAAAATAAATGTCAGTAATATAAAAAATTTTACACACGCACATATTTTGTTTTTTATTTATTACATTTATTCATTCAGAATGACCCTATGTAAAAATTATAAATGATATGAGAAATATGATATATAATTTAAGATGTCTGCAGTTGTATTCCTAGTAAATAATAAAATAAAATACAGCAGACGCCCCCCCGAGCACAATGCCTGTGCACGACTGTCTACCAGACAACCTTGCCACTCACAGGCTATCACACATGTACACGCAGCTTTGATGTCACCAAAATTTCACTATTTTTTATGCATTACATAGTCCCTCAGTCCAATTTTAAAAATTTATAAATATTTGCTAATGAGCTCTTTCATCTATCTAATGATGTATTTAGATTGATTGTAACATTTGTAGTTTCGAAGACATAAGCATTTTTAGACACCTTAAATTGTGTTTTAATTTTTAATTTTCCATTAGACCATCATGGATGAACACAATCCTAAGTTAAAAAACGTCATGAGTTTTCAAAGTGACCATTTCAGAAATTATAAATGTAAAAATTTGCAGTAAGCAGTTAATGGACGTAACAGCAAAATCAATAATTTTCAAGCTAAGAAGAATGAGATGTATTAAAGCAGTATAATAAAGCAGATATTTAAATAATTGTACATATCTGATTATTCAATCAAATATATTTTATTATTTAATCAACAAGAACATGGAAAAGATTTATGAATTAATACTTTTTTTCTATATTAATTTGGGAAAAAAAGCACATACTCAATATCCTTTTAACAAACAAGATCACATTCAATATGATGGTTTTTACAATATATTTCAAGTAAAATATTCAGTATAAAATTTAATGTTAAATGAAGTACTGAGTGATGTCAAGATCACAATGTGAATATTCAAAAATTTCTTAAAAGAACTACACTGAATTTAAAATGATTAAGATTTTTTAATCTAGTTTTTATTCAAAATAAGCAAATATTAATTTTTGGCATTCAAAAATAGTAATATAATCTAAAATTGCTTACAAGTACTTAAAACGATTTAATTATATTAATTGTTACAAATGGCATGAATGATATAAATTTTCTTGTACTTTTACATAAAAAGTTTATAAAATGCTTAGATTTCCTTTATATGAAAATAAAAGTGAGATCATTTTAGAATAAATAACCCATAGCAATTTCGTAAACTTTAATGTATATTGAACTAAAGAAATAAAATTCTTACATTTATCTGGGCATAGAACATTTGTAAGCTTTTGCCTGATGTTTGTTGGAAAACAATTATCTTTTTTAGGCGTTGATTCTTCAGATTTTACTTGTATCTAGAAAATAAATAAATAGGTTATTCACATGTTTATATAATGTAAAGCCAAAGACTGTAAATATTTTAAATGTATGTCACTATCTAAGGAAAAGAAAAAAAAAAAATACTAGGAATATTGTATTGCATTCATCTTCAGTCACTTCAACCAATAACTAAATGTTAATACATCACTAATATTGCAAGCGATAAAGTAAAACATTAAGTAAAAGCATAATATGCTAGTAATCCGCTTATTTTCAAATTTTAAATAACGTTTTCAACTTCCTGCATATAATTGACTTAATTAGTTACACTAAGAAAAATGTAATCAAATAACTTATAATTTAAAAACTATGGTAGGCAATATGCAGATTACATTCAATTTCAAATATATATTTTATAAAATCTTATTTTCTCAATTTATTACACTTAAACTCAGTGAAGTTGCCTTTAGACTAAATATGTATGTTTTATTTGTACTTAATATGCTCAAGACCTAATTTACACATTTGTCTATGTACATATAAATGCATTTGTGTTCATGAAGAGAGAAGAATAAATAAGATTTAAAATTTACCTTTGGTACATCTGGTTTTGGACTAAGTTGAAGATCAACTATTCTATTTGCAATTTTATCAACATCTTGTTCACTGGAAGACCTAAAGTGTAACATAACACAAAAATAATAATATTATATAAAAAACTAATATATTGCAAGTACACAAGATTTGATGTCTTTAATGCATACTGGTGTTTAAAATATATTCAAGGGATCAGTATTATATTTGGCATGAAGAACAGTAGATAATTTATTTAGCAATAAAACAAAATTTACAGAATTAACATCAAAGATATTTATAATTATTTAAACTTGTTGTTAATTTTTATTTGCAACAGTTGCCCCCGGGTGCAACCTCCTAAATTTTAATTACTTATTTTAATTAGTTAAAACATAATATTGTAACAATAAGTATAACTAAAGCAAATAACATCAGTAAAATCAATAAATATACATAAATATAAAATCATAATATTGAACCCATAAATGTTAAATAAAATCTATGAAAATAATTTTAAAGCAGAAAAAATACATTATAAAGAAAATTTTTAAAGAAAAATTATGTGTGAACTAAATAGGGATGTTTCCAAATTGAAATACATGAAAACAAATTGTAGAAATTTCCTCTCCCTAACAATTTTATCTTTTCTCTAACTATTAGGCAATGTAGAAGAAAAGACAAACAAACAAATAAAGCTCTTATTGTGACTGAAATTCACAAAAGTATCAAATCTGGTCCAAGAAGTTAAAAACTTTAAGCTGAAAATGTATACAATGCCATCATGCCTATTATCTTCTGCTTGTATTGAAAAGAGTTAGTTTTAAATAATTAAAATTATATTATTTTACTTCTTATAAACTGTATTCTTATCTTAATATCTTTGTTTCTGCACATCAACTGACCTATAAATCTATAATCAGTGTTCTATAAATTAAACCAACTTCTTCAAAATATTTCTAATTCTAAGACACAGAATTTTATGCAAACAGTTTTAATAGTGAAGGTATGAAGAATTTTATAAATATGTAATTTAACTTTTTATAACTCCCTATACAGTAGTATTGTTCAAGCTCTTTATGCGAAAGGCTTCTAAAGTATTTTGCCTGCAGCTCATGGATACAAGATGTTACATGCTCAGTAAAACTATACAACACACGTAAAAGTAATGGAATAGAACAATAAAATGTAACATTGTAAATTTATATATACATTTAGATGCTTACATATTTTTTCATTGGCCTTTTTCAACAAACAAAAACTGACACCAAACAGTGAGATTTAGTGCCAATAATGGATAAGCATGACATCACAAAACATTCACAAATTCTTTGATTTTTGTGTAATCTCGATCCTCAATCAGTTAGTCTAGAATTTATAAAGATAGATATATATTAGCTGCTATTTATCTGTTTTTCTCCTTACTATTTTCTATAGAAAACAGAGGAGTATTTGAAAGACTCTGAGGTTCGACAAAACTATGCAATAACACTACACAATGCCATTGAAATTTACATTTATGTCACACCAGCTTCACAAAGAAAATGACTATACTGTCTGTATTTTTAATGCCATAAGGCCAGTGTGAGATTTTTGGCAACCAGAATTTTAATGAATTTATTTATCAGTTCATCTCAAAGCTAGTATTTAAGTTTTTTATATGTCACATCTATAACTTGCATTTGTTGATCATCTAATAAATAAAGAGTAAAATGTTACTCCAGACTTCTGCTAGGATGATTGCTGCAGGTTTGGCAGGATTTCTCCTAACTTTCGCATTCAATATGAAAATACATAAGTATCCCAATTTATTATGTCATTTTCTGCAGTAGAAAGAATTATGCAAACTGAACCATACTTACGTGAAATGTAAAGTGAGGTAAAACATGCAAATGTTTAGAATCATACAGCTTTTGCACATGTATGGAATAAGAACCAGCTACTTGTTCCATGTATATAAAGGACTGTAAAGTTCCTTTGAAATATGTTTGGCATACTTTGTCTGCAAATAACGTTTAATTAGTGGTCAATACACTTTGTTAACACTATAGGGTGCCATACCAACAACTAATGGAGTTCGAATGAGGCCGCACCATTGGTATGCGAAAGGGTGGACTTTTGTATCAAGCAATTGCAGCCAGGATGCAGCATAATGCCACAACAGCGATGAAAAAAATGGACACAAGCAAGGCAAAATCTGGCAGTAGGGCATGTAATAGCACAACAGCATGGAACGACAGACACCTTATCCACATGGATGCGACAGATTATACAGCATTGTCTCATCTGTTAGCGCAATGTTGGAATATGGCTACAAGTGTTGTGTTTATCAACATCTGCTGCAGCATGAACTGAATGCAAGGGTTCTTCTAAGCAGGATTTCCCTGTCACTGAATCACAAATGCCTCTGACTTCAATGGCCTCAGCAACACAGCATGTAGTGTGCCCTGTGGCAACATGGCACACTACATGCCATGTTGCTATTCAATATCCATTGAATCTCGCAGCAATCTGGAATACAATGATGGAAGAGTATGTATCTGATGTTAGAGGGAAATGCCTGATCACACAGTGCATTATGCAGCATCATAGTGCAGAAACACCTTGCATCATCGTGTAGAAAGCTATTGAGTATAATTGTCGAACCCATCTAGTGCAGATTGATAGCAGCCTCAACAGTAATCACTACATAAGAGACACTGCAGAAACAGGGGTCTAGCCCATTCTTAGACGCATTCAGGGAGCTGTATTTCAGCAAAATAATGCCCATGCACATCTTTCTCAGACTGCACAAGCCTTCTTTACAGCACAACATGTTTTGTTTCTTCCATGGCCTGCTTATTCCCTGGATATGTCACTCATTCAGCACTCTGTGGTTTCATTGGTCAATGACTCACTTGTATAACCAGTGAGGCACACACTAAGGCTGAAACTTGGCATCAATTCAAAACAATATGGAATGCCTTTTCCATGATTACATTCAGAACCTGCATGATTCAGTGCCACAACGTGTACAGGTTCTCATTGCTCAGAGTGCCGGACACACAAAGTACTGATTTCCGACATTCAATTTTTTTTCTTGTAAATTTGATCGTTTATTTGTACCACTATCAGTAATACGTGAAATGAATTTCATTTATATCTGACAATTCCTTAATGGTGTTGAATTTTTCACAAACATTAGTGTACTTATATAAAATAAAGCTCACTACTAGCTTATAATGTGAGGTATGGCAGTGCTTTTCTTTATATAAGTAGTCAGTGCGTACACAAACTTTTGATGCACCAATGTGTCAACCTTTATGCTCAATGGGCTTGTATAATGGGTTAAGATGTTTTAATTTTATATGTTTAAGTTTGATAAAAAATACATAAGTTTTTATCTGATGTGCACTTTTGTTTTTCGAAATCTTAAATAATGTAAGCTTTTAATGACTCTTAAAACGAGGCTTTTTTTTTTTTTTTTTTTCCTATTCATTTGGTTTTTTTACCATGAACTGCATTTACTATACACTCAGCTATCCAGAATTGTTCCATATCCAGCATTCATCATTTCTGGAGTTATTGTATTTGTTTTTGCATCAACATTTAAGGAAATAAATCTTCTTACCAGCCTTTCTTAACATAAATTAAAAACATTAAAAAAGGCAAAAAATAATTTAACTTATTATTAAATAAGTTCTTCAAAATATTTCTAATTCTAAGACACAGAATCTTAGAATATTTTTCTTAAAAAAGAAAAAAAAATTTTAAGGATTACCTTTTAACATAAGGTACCATAGGGAATTTAGGAACAGTAATACAACAGCTAGTTGGTAAAGATGGCGGTAAATATCCTGAGGAGAAGAATTTATGATGTAAGATTTCTTCCAAAGAAGGCCTGTCAGCAGGTTTGCATTGCAGCATTCTAATTACAAGATGGCGTGCAGCTTCTGACATAGAACTTGGAATGCTATACTTGTTAGCAGTAATACGGTAATAAGTTTCATTGAGTGTAGCAGTTTCGAAAGGTGGCTGACCCACTAACATGGCATACCTAAAATATATATTACATAAATAAATTTCAGTCAGCCTTGTATAATACTGTGAATTAATAAACAATGAATTTTTAACTAGCAACTAACAAAAAAAAAAAAAAAAAAAAGCTATTATATCAAAACTTGAAACTAACATAAAAATAAATTTGTTATTAATCCAAGATTCATCAATTAAAAACACCAACATAATAGACAAGTAGGGAATTCACAGTGAGTTGTTACCTATAAATGAAAGTAAAATCTGCCAGAAAACTGTATCAACCAATGTATAAATAAAAATATTTACTCAAACATTAAGGCAAAATAATGTTTAAGTTACCATTTGTATGAATTTTTACATGTTCATTCTATTAATTAAGAGAAAGTGTTAAAATTTTATGGATAAAAACAGAAATTGGGAATGTTAAATAGAATAATAAATGCAATAAATGTTAAATACAGTAAGTGGATAATAAAAAAACTTACATTATACATCCCATTGCCCAAACATCTGCAGCAAAACTATATCCTTGCATGTTGAGAACTTCCGGAGCAATGTAGTTTGGAGTTCCACAAACAGTACTATAACCAAATCAGATATCAAATGCAATATGTGCATATAAACATTCATTTTAATAATTTTAAATATGATTAAACATTTAAAAAAGGGGTTGTAATATAAAGTTTTTAAAAATTACAGATAAGGAACATTTATAGTATATTTTCAATTTACTGAATGTGAAGAACATCACCACTAAATAATTGTGGATAAGCAACGTAGTAAAATATTTGATTGATACAACTGATAAATAGGGAAAAAATATATAAATATTTTTTCTTTCTAAAATTTTTTTTAAACAAATGTTATGAATCAGTAAGAATTTGCTGATTTGGGGCAAATGATTCTTAATATCACATGATAAACAATTAAGCAATTTCTTTCAGTCCCAAGTGAAATACTAATAATAGATAAAATAGTACTTCAGTCCCACGTACTATTTTATCTATTTTTTTTTTAAACCAAATGGGTATAGTGTAGCATTTGGGTTAAACGTAAATTTTAGCATTGGGTTAGCACCACACCATTTGGGTTTGGCCCTGTATTATATTTAAAGAAACTCAATAATGAAGAATCTACATGAATGTATACATATTTCTAGTACTGCGAAAAAACAATGGTACCTAGCATCATCAAATTTTGAATAACATAGTCCTCCATCCGAACATCGGCACCTGGAAGCCCAAATTTTAAATTGGTTTTATTATTCTGTTCCATATTCTATAAAACTTAAACAAATTTTTGGCTAAAAAAACTTCAAAGTAAACAGGGCAATATTGTAGAGAATAAAACATTTTTATCTCCAGCACACAAGACTTTCTATCGAAAATTCTAAAAATAAGCTTGTTTTTAAATAATTATTCCAATAACGTACAAATTCCAACACCTCCTAGAACTAACTGAAGGCCACGGCGCTGTTTCTCAGGAGGAGGTGTGACGTCAGTGTTAGTAGGGATTGTATTTCATTTAACTCTCCCCACCCAGGACTGTGGTGGGTGGATTTCCGGAGTTTTGACGGTCACTTGGTCAGAAATCGTCCATAAGAACAGTCGACATTTTCTTTCTTTTTTCAGATATTTCTATATTATAAGTATTTCACTTTTATTATTTGTTTTTCAAATTTTTTGATATGGTTTACACATGCTGTGTACCTAACTGTAAAGGGAAACTATCCAAATGGCCCAAAAGTACAGGTTTTTCTCTTTCCGAAAGAGAAAGAATTCTTAAATAAATGGATAAAGGCGATTCATAGAAGCAATTTCAAGCCAACAAAATTTTCGAAGGTAAGTTGCGTTTTTTTTTTTTTTTTTTTTTTTTTTTTTTTTTTTTAATGAATAAGTTTATACTTATCTGTGCTTTAAAAAGTGCTCCTGTGTTAAGTATGTTATAATTATCATAAACTAAATCGAGTACATACATTTATAGAAAGTAAACATATTTAATCTTATTGTAAGTCTAATAGTGATTATATAAGTATGATGATTTAATCATACTATTAATTTAATTTATAGCAGATAGTACTGCTTATCATCATGCTAATCGTTCAATCTATAGTTCAATTAAATGTAGGATTAATAAATATTCAAAATTGTAAATACATTTTGTATGTTGCAAAATGCTTGCATTTAAATATCTCGATACATTTGTCACAGGAACAGCGTATTTATTAAAATCCGAAAGACCTTTGAAAAATCTTGATAATATCTCTGTAACTAATACCAATTTTGTTTTCTGATGTTAATGCGAAAAAATACGCTATTTTAAATTTTTGTGAGTTCATGCCTGATATTCTTAAATTCACTTAATATAACATAAATCATTAAATATGAAGTTTTACAAAATCTTGTATTTAATTCTAGTTTAGATAATTAAATCCGATTATAACAATCTTTGCCATACAAGTGTTTCGTATTTCGTATTTTTGTAAGTAAATATTAAATTTATGCAACACTTTATTTGACAAAAGATTTTCTATCTAATTAGACATTATTCTTCACAACTAGTACCTGTTTTCACTTTATACAATTAATAGATAAGTAGGATTTCTTTCTATTATCGTGAATAAACATTAACTTTATATTATTTTTAGTGCCTGCTGCAACGGGCTGGCTGCATGGTGTTTTTTTCCCCAGTGTGTAACGTATATACGAGCCAGTTTCCCTTAGAAAGTCCTCCATGAAGGCATCCCTCCCCTTAGGCAGATAGCCCTCGAGGCTTTGCCATAATTAAAATAACCTAACCTGTATTATTTTATGCTACAAATTTAATGAAATTTAATAATGTATGCTCAGTTTAAAGCCGAAAAACTTAATGTATACAATTCTTGCTGATAGGTTTGTGCCCTTCATTTCACCCTGAGGACATTTCAAATGTACAGAATTCGTTGATGAAAGGACTGGAAGGAAGGTGACTGCTCCCTTATCGAGGTTACAAATTAAAACGTTCTGCGATTCCTAGTATTTTTCCAAACTGCCCAAAATATATTTGAAGGGAATTTATCGTGAGAGAAAGCCCAGATAAACGTCGTGAAAGGCTAGAAAATAAAAATCTTCAGTGGGCTGTAACTAAAAGTATATCTCAGTTTCAGGACGAATGAAAAAAAAAAAATCCTTTTCTTCTTTTTCTGAATTTTTAGATAAGATTGGAAAAGAAAAGCTACCTGGCTTCGTGGAACTGTATGAAAAGAGCACGGGAAGCTATTCTTTTTAATTATTGAGCTAACACCGTGCCCTTGAAATTCAGAGACTATTCAGATTTTCTAACCAAAATTTGAACTTTTCAGGAACGGGGGAGGATTTGTTACTGTATTAAACGTTACATATATTTTTTTGCCAGCATCTAAGTTGGCAATGTAGATGAGGCTTATTTCTATTTTTAAAAAACGCTTTGTTGTCATATGAATTTAAAAGTGATGTGCAGAATTTAAGAATAAATTCTGTTTGTGAAACTTTAGAAAATATTGAAGAACATACGATGAAAAAAGCAGAAAGCCATACAATTCATTAGGGAGCAATTAACATTAATTAATACATCCAAAGAAAACTTACGGTATTCTCCAGAAAGTATGATACTATTCAGTATTTTATGTACAATTTCACCCCATGCTTATAAATTTTTAAGGAGTTCTGGGTGTATTTTGGCTCCTCACCCTCGGACAATTCAAAGGTTATGCTCATCTTGGTAGCTAATGTATATTTTGTATAGCAGTATGTCGAAGCAATTTTTTTTCAAAGAAATCGAATATATTGTCATACATTTAAGCATGCCATATACATACGTATGGAAATAAAAATGTATGGCATGATATTTCATAAAGACTACAATTTAAATTCTTTCTAAAGATAGAAATGTAGTCTTTATGAAATATTATGTCATACATTTTTATTTGATGAAATGCAGTCTGTGATAAAAAAAAAAGCAATATTTATTTCGTTCCCGTTTACAGACAGTTTTGAATAATTCTGAATTGACTGCAAAGACAATTTCGATGATTTTCTCTTTTCCTCTATCCTTCTCTTTTTTTACTGTTGAAAAATCCTCCCTCTTTTTAGTTTGATTGAAATAAGCATATACATATTATCTAAAGTATTTCTGTATAAATTGTTTTGAAATTGTAATGTATAATTTAGTGCATCCTAAGGGCATTTATATGTTAGTAATTTTATTCGGCAGTAATAATGCAATGATAGTGTTTTTCATTTGTTGTTTCAATATCCCAGTTTAGATTTGTTACATTTGCCTTCCACACAATACTGCTAAACCATGTTATAAAATTTCCCTGTAAAGATCAGAGGTTAGCTATTTAGATCTATATCAGACCTCTATCAGAGATTGATATTTGCCATTTAAAATGCAAAATAATATGCAATTCTCTCTGTGCACCTAATGTCTCAAATAATTATAAAAACTTATTTAAATCGTTGCAAGCTTAGTGTTATTTGTTTCAAACATGAGTATTTATTATTATTCGGCAACATATGTCAAAAATAAGATATATTACTTATCTTATCAAAGATGTTTATTGTCAAGGCATAAATTGTTGTAAGTATAATTAATACGACCCTTGACCAATAAACATCTCTGATTAATTATATTTGTTTTCAACTAATGATTTTATGTTGCTACATGATTCCAGGTAAATTAGCTTCATATTTAAATCAGTTAGAATTTTATCTCAATTTTTTAGGATCTATATTGCCTTCATGGCCTTGTCTTAAATTTTCTTCTGTTTAATTATTGCGTACAAATAAAATTCCGATTCATTAAGTGTGAAGTTTCTTTCGTTAACAAGAGTTTCTCAGCGATTAAATTTAGTAACATCAGTAATAACTTTTAATGGAATTAAAAATTCTAGTTTTCGTATCGAAAACATTCTAAAAATAAAAATCTCGGTTCTTCACATTCTAATGAACAAGGTATTTTCCAGATTTATAAACGATGAGAATTAAATATAAAAATTTCAGTTTTTAAATAAGCCTGTCAAATGGATTTTTTAAAGTTGGCGAGGACGAAAGTATCCCTACTGCAGTGACGTCACGAACTGCGCGCCGTGGCCTTGAGTTAGTTCTAGGTGGTGTTGACAAATTCACAATCAAATAATTTAAACAGTGGTGCCATCTAGGAAGAGAACTGGTAACAATTAAATTTGTGTAAAATATTTCTAATCAATGTCAAGATTTTAAAATTTATTTTATGCAACAGATGGCACCACCATTACTTACAAATAATTTATAATTAGATTTGGATGCATTCAAAAGCTCGTTTGCCCTCCAATTTATTAGACATGCTTTTCTACAGTTTATTTCTAAAATATTTTAATAAATTGTTCTTAATTTCCTGTTTGAAAAAGTGCCTAAATTTTTTCCCTATACTTTTTTTCTTTTTTTAAAGCTTGCAGAATGGAATATTTATATATTGCAGAAGTTCAATTTATATTTATCCAGATCAAAATTTTGTTTACTCATTTACTTCTTACACTCCTTAAGATTACATTTTTTGTAATAATAATATGTGCGCGTACATT